GGCGATTTGAGGGATTTCGGAATGGCTAAAAGTGTTTGAAGCATCCGGTCCTGACATTTGAGGCAGATTTGAGGGCCCGCGCTGGCTTTGCCCTTAGACCTATCTCTCGAGTCTTCTCTCATAACAACATTAATAACTTCTTCTTCGGATAAAGGTTGTTGCAACTTATCATTTTCCTCATCTGTAACCAGATCAGAGTCAGACCAAAAATCATGTCCTAAATGAATATTATCTTTAACTTCAAAGCCAAAAAGATTTTTGTAAAAAGAAGTAGCAACTTCCAACATTTCATGGGTAGAATAGACAGAGCTGTCATCACCAATCAGCACATCCAGATGGTACATTCTATGATGTTGATTAGCTAACCCATGAAAATAAGAATTACTCCTACCCCCCAACACAATTTTCCTATCCCTAGATCTTTGCCATAAGGCGGTTTCCTCTTTTTTTTCGAATATAATCCAATTCCTTTTATCATTCATACATTTTTTATCATCATTTGAAAGTTTATTTTCCTCAGAAGAAAACATCAAGATTGTCAAACTCCACAAGGAGATTACGTTTCTTTTTTCTCAAGATCAGCTTCCAAATTAATGCTCCAACCTCTCAATTTTTTCCTGAACAGTCTAGTCAAATTAATTTGCCGCCGTTGCCGATCCAACCATGTAACTCTCCAAGAGGACGTGTGTATTCAAACTGAATGAAAAGGTGGTGTGTTTTACTTCATCAGTTAACCATGAATGTTCGATCTTTACTGGTATGACTCGATAATTCCACTAGAGTAGACAACCGTCAGACCATGGCGATGAGAGCGGCAGCCCGCGTCATAAGAAAAGCACTAGACTTTGTTGCGCCGTCTTCCTCGAGTTGATCGAGAGCATGTGGCTGGGCAATCGAACAAACAGGTGGTGTGCGATCATGAAAACCATAGGGAAGTAAAATTATCATGGAAACTGCTAGCCCCTGCCATGCCATGGGAACTGCTGGGCAACTCTTGGCAGCAACAAGTCAAGCCGGCAGCAGGTGTGTGTGTACAGCTGCCAGCCTACCATAACGAGTCAATCTATGCACACAAGTATATATAACGGGTCAAGAGGTTACTGAATCAATGGTGTATAAAAAAGGCTCAGAGGAGCCAGAGCGCAGGGGACAAGTCCAAAGCTGACCTGAGCTGTTGGCTAACTAGCAAGAGAGAACGACACAGCTAACTAGCTAGCTGCCATGGACGCCGCGGGCGGCTCGTCGGAGCCATCCTCCCCCTCCTCCTCCGGCGGCGGCGAGCAGGTGTATGTGGCGGTGGGCGAGTCCAAGGCGATGGTGCTGTGGGCGCTGCACAAGTTCCCCAAAGACACCGCCTTTGTGCTGCTCCATGTCTGCTCCCAGCCCAAGCTCATCCCCATCAGTGCGCCTCATCCCCTCCTCTTCCACTTCCCTTCTTTCTTTTCTTTCCTTTTTGCTTTAATTTGGATCAGAAGTTCTTTTATGCAGCTTTGTAGTTTCATTACCTACTAGTACTTCAATAGACTGAACAGCATAAACAAGACATGGGTAATTATTACACTGACATGGTCAATCCACGTCAATTATCTCTACAAATTTATTTATTTATTCCAAAATGGCTTTACTACCTCTGTCTCATAATGTAAGACGTTTTTACAGTTCAATTTAAACTGCAAACATGTCTTATATTATGAGACGGAGGGAGCAGCATATTTTGGATGCAATGCAATCAGATAAACTAAAATCCTGCAGGATTCGAATAGCATAGAGTTTCTGCTGATAGTAAATTATGGTTGCGGAAGTTAATACCTCCAATGCTGTTCATAGTGGGTGCCAGGATCCCTGCTAGCCAGGTGCAAGAGCAGGAGCTGACTGCATACAAGAAGATGGAGTTGCAAAGAATCAATGACAGTCTGGACCAACATCTGCTCCTATGTGCACAGGAAAAGGTTCAGACATATCAGACACCAGAATGCGAAGAAAACTAGAAATATATGCTTGCTTCAAAAATTGACCTATGCATGTATCTCACAGGTACAAGCTGAGAAGCTGGTGTTGAATCAGATGATGTGGCAGAGGGACTAGTGCAGCTCATCACTGAGCATCATGTCACTGCCCTTGTCATGGGGGCAGCAGCTGATAAGCATTACACAAAGTATGTGCACAAATTTCTGAGTGATCTCTTAAAAACTTGTAGATTATCACTATAATTAAACACGTCGTGGTCATTAGTGAATGCCCTATTACCACAAAAGGGAAAACTAACTCCTCGTTCAAGAGTTCAGGAAAATGAAAGCTCTCAAGTCCAAGAAAGCACAGGTTGTAGAACAGCGGGCAGATCCTTCCTGCAAAATATGGTACATCTGCAAAGGAACGCTTGTTTACCGTAGGTACGGTTGGTCGAGCGTGGATGCTCTTCACTTGTGTTCTTAGCGTTACGTTGCAGAACTCCAGCCTGCATTTGACATGTTTCCCTCCTTGTCTGCATTCTCTCTACACTAGGAAGGCGGTTCCCCTTAGCCATGGGGCAATGCCGCAAGGTGCACAAAAGCCTGATGCTCAACAGTTTTCAGTGGATAGATCAACTAGCTTGTCAGATATGTGGTGTGTTTCAAATACATGGCTACACAAACCAAATCTCAGACGATCCGACGGTAATGAAAAGGTAAGCACAATTATGTAAATGATATTTATTTTGGCATACTTAAAGTTTAGCAGTTACACTTCAAGGAACAAAGAAGAAGCTGCTTCATTTATATTCTCCACATCTTCAGTAAGCAATATGCATCCGCACTTAAACTTTGTATGGTCACTGATGAAGCAATCATAAATGCATATGCACTTCAAATGTGGTCCATGATGAAGAATTTTCTTGATAAATATACGAAATAGGATGAAGATAATTAAACATTCAAGAAAATCTTGACATGAAGTTTTGACCTTATCTCACCCAGGAAACTGTTAACGAATTTGACGAGGCTGATAACAAATTCCAGCATATGCTCCAGGAGTTGGAGAGTGTAAGAAAACAAGCTTACGAAGACAACTGCAGTCGTGAAAAGGCAGAAAGGGAGTTGTTTGAGGCTTTCCAGAAAGTAAGTGTAGCTTAATTTCCACTTTTCAGTCATGTCAAGTATACTGATGTTAACTGTTATTTCAACTGTATGATGTATGCCAGTAAGAGCATTATTTGGAAGATACACTTGCTACTGTGCTTATGAAGCATCATCACCAACTTTACCATCATCAATAATAAATTTGTAAACAATTTTGGATCCATTGTTTTTGTTTCCAATAACTGCCAGCTAATTTTTTTAACGAAATACTCTCTCACATTTAGCTTGTCCAACAGGCACGAGCCTCTGAGAGTATGTACTTCGGAGAAGTGAAGCAAAAGAATCAAATAGAGGATAAGTTGAAAACAACACTGGAGGAAGTTGAAAGACTCACAGAAACAACTAATGAACTTTGTGCAAAGCTTCAAGATGAACGCAAGAAAAGATTAGCCATGGAGAAAACAACTTCCCATTCAGACCGTATTATCAAGGATTTGATGTTGCAGCGTGACAAGGCAGTAAGAGAGGTAGAAGCACTACATGCAAAGAAAGGAGAGTCTAGTGGAACCTCGGAGGGGACAATGCACATCACGGAGTTGTCCTGCTCGGAGATTAACGGAGCAACCAACAACTTTGACCACTCACTGAAGGTTGGAGAAAGTGTTTATGGAAGTGTGTACAAGGGCTTTCTTCGGCACACAAATGTAGCTGTAAAGAAGTTGAATCCTGAAAGCACACAGTCACAGTCGCAGTTCAATCAAGAGGTTGAATTATTGGTCTTGGTTAATTATTTACTTTCTTTCATCTCAACTGAACTGGCAATTCGCTTCTTCAAATAAATTGCTGAGTTGTTCATGCTGCCTCCTTTGCAGATAGAGATTCTCAGCAGGGTTCGACATCCAAACCTGGTGACTCTTATAGGAGCTTGCAAGGACGCTCAAGCTCTTGTCTACGAATACATGCCCAATGGAAGCTTGGATGACCGCCTGGCTTGCAAAGACAATTCTAAACCTCTCAGTTGGCAGTTGCGCACCCGCATCATTTCTGATGTTTGCTCCGCGCTCATCTTTCTCCATTCTAATAAACCCCATAGCATTGTCCACAGTGACCTTAAAGCATTGAACATTCTTCTTGATGGAAACAATGTAGCAAAGCTCAGTGGTTTTGGCGTGTGCCGAATGTTCACTGATGAGTTCAGGGGCAGAACCACTCTATATAAGCATACCCACCCAAAGGGGTCTTTTGTGTACATTGATCCTGAATATGTTATGACTGGTGACCTGACCCCCCTATCTGATGTATACTCTTTCGGAATCGTGCTACTGCGCCTTTTGACTGGAAGACCAGGATTCGGGCTGTTGAAAGATGTGCAACGGGCAGTGGAAAAGGGTTGCCTGGAAGCAATTTTGGATTCATCTGCTGGGGGCTGGCCAGCTATGCAGGCTGAGCAATTGGCTCGGGTAGGTCTGAAATGTTGTGAAATCAGAAGAAAAAACCGCCCTGACCTGCAACCGGAGGTTTGGACTGTACTTGAACCAATGTTGAAGTCTAGTTCCATCATTTTGTGTTCCTTATCATTTAAATCAGTATCCGAAGACCTTGGAGGTGTGCCGCCCTACTTCATCTGTCCAATACTACAGGTGAGTCATAGATTTAACTTGGTGAATATTTTTTTTCTTCTATTGTTCATTTTGACATATTAAAGTGTGGAAGCATGCTTGATTAACCTTAAATTTCCTCCTGAATTTTTGTTTCCAATTTATCATTCTTAGCAATTTTAGACAAAGTCAGTAATTTCTTGCATAGACAACATTTGTTATTTCAGGTTATTTCACCCTTGCATTTCTACGATGCAGGATATCATGAGGGAGCCTCTAATTGCTGCAGATGGTTTTACCTATGAAGCCGAAGCTATAAGGGAGTGAATTGACAATGGCCACCATACATCACCCATGACAAATCTCGAGCTACTCCACTGTGATCTTTTGCCGAACCATGCCCTCCGCTCTGCGATCCAAGAATGGCTGCAGACAAATGCAAATTAATATGTTAGCTTTATCACCATGGAACTTTGAGATGAACAATTGGTGTGCGCTTAACTCCTTACACAGATTAATAGGCACAAACCGCAAAAACCAAACGCTTCTGTGTGTATTCAGAAAGAATGATCTAAGATATACACATTACTTTTCATTTTGTTTCTTGAGCAAAACGTGTATGTAAAACAAAATAGTTTGGAGCTCCATCAGTGGCATGCTGTACTTTGTACATGGATTTATAAAGTGAAAACTGTTTAGGTGATGATATCACCATCGCATGTGCACACTGCTTGAATGAACAATCAATATTGGTGTGGTATTGATTGGCCTCTGAATGTCGATGTTCCAGGATGAATGAAAAGTGCATATCAGCATGGAACTATCAATTATTTACAAGCATATATGGTACAGTGTCATTTTACATGTTACATCCAGTTTGAAAATCTAATATTTGCATCATCGATCTGTCTATTCCGAAAGTCCAAAATGATCAAGCAATCAAACTTCAATGACCTATGATCAGCTTATTTTATTTTCTTGTCAATGACACAGATCCTCCGTGTTGAACAATACCAAATTCAAAAGGTACGATGTCCTTGTCTCCAATGACTGACCAAATTGGCAGCACAATCTATTATATATTGGTCCTTCAGAAGCTGGTAACCAGCATGAAACTTCATTTGCCTTGAAGTCGCGATCTATCCGATCTGGACCTTGATTTTTAGCAAGAGTCCAATTCATCTTTGACATATCACTGTGTCAGGACTGCATACTTCCTAACCTACCTTCCGGTCGCTCTGTCCTCACACTGGGATACTGTATTCCTGAAAGCCTGCAATTTCTCAACAAGCACTTCCGTCCAAATGAGTCAGACGGAGATTCCAATCATCCAAAGCTGCACCCCTCTTCACGTATTGTAGTTCAAAGTATAATCCTAGTATATGCTAATCATCAGATGCTTTAGGAAACAGGAAATGCCTTGATGTACATTACTATATTGACAGCCTGAGAGCAAGAATTGTGTGAAAGCCACCTGCAGAAAACGAACATTATCGCATACATCTAATCATATCAAAACTATATGTGCTGGACAACATTTACGCATCTTGAAAGCAACCCTTTGATGGGCATTGCCGGCCAGGGAGATGGGATGATCACCATCTAATTGGACGACTTTGTTGCTACACATCAAAAGTCAGTCAACGAGGGGCAGGCATGTACAGCAGTTCCTTGGAAGTAGTGGAAATTTCACGGAAATTTCACCCGAATCAGACAAGTTTTCCTGCCAATATAAAAATAAATTATTATCAGCATAATTATTACAGAAATGTAGGGAAAGGCTGCGTACTATAGACCCAAAGTGGTCGGACCCTTCCCTGGACCCTGCGCAAGCGGGAGCTACATGCACCAGGTTGCCCTTTATAATCATTTCTAAACTGGAACAGCTGCTCAATGGGTAACCAACGTTTCCTAAGCTGAAACAACACTTTTTGCTCTAAAAAACATTTTTCTCATTGGACTACACTTGGGACCCAAAGCAAGAGACTGACCTGATAGTGTGCTCACTGCTGCTGGATACAGTCAGAGGAAGACCAAATCCAAGGCCACTATTTAAAACCACCATCATTGCCTCTCCTTCAGGCCTTCTATGAGCTGACACTTCCTAGGAAGAGCAAAGGCACAAAAGGGAAAAGATGCCTCTGGGTTGATGAAAAGTGGTGCAGCACAATTAGGTACTTTCGTTAGCCTTTTGGACCACTTCCAGATATCTTCACCTTTTCGTGTTTGAGGTGAGGCTTCTATGGTTCAGGTTCTGCTGAACAAGATAGCAAAGGCAGAATCAAGATCTGATGTTAATTCTTGATTTTTAACGGTATATATAGGGAGCAAGAAAGATGGATCAAGAAGAGGTTCATATCGCGGTGGGGAGGAACTTGAAAAGAGAGAAGGCTAACATATTATGGGCAGCTGCAAATTTCCCAAGGGCCACACTAGTTCTTGTCAATGTTCACTGGCCATCCAAGTGGATGCCTTTCAGTAAGATTTCTTCAGTCAAATATTTCCATCCTTTGTACAGCTCTAATAGTCACCCATGTGCAATTTTTTAGAAGGAAATTTAAAGGATGTTTCATCAGAAAAAAAATGTGCAGTTCAGTGTACTGTCTTTCAACTTGTGTGTGAATAGAAAGTAATACGCTATCCAATCCTATAAAGAAGCATTTCAAAGAGATAGATAATAGGAACGCAATTTTTTATCATTATTTAGTAAATGTAGCCATCTTAGATACCAATACACTTTTTCTCTCAGAAAAAAGATACCATACACGTTAAATTTTTCTACCAGGCCAGCAAAGGAAATGCCTAATCAACTTCCCCAGTATGATAAACAGCCTTTTCATGCTCTCATCTTATTCTGGACAAATGCAAACACAGCAACTGCTGTCGGTAGTAAAAATGTTGTAGAAGTTTACACACATGAGCGAACAGGCCTGTAGCCTAGTGGTTGCAGTGACCTTAGTAGCGCTCCAGGTCCTGAATTCGAACCACTGCGGTTGCCTAACAGTGTTATACATGTGGCCCACATGTCCTGGGCACCCTGTAGCGCGTCCGAGCAGCCGGCCTTCGGGGCCTTTTCATGATCAGGCCAGGGAGAGATTCTTCTTAGTGCAAAACCATACGGGCAGTTTTCCCCCCACCAGCCGAGTTTTTATTTTATTACACACATGACTTATTGCAACAAAATAGCTATATTTTATTAACACAAATATTAACAGCATAAAGTATAAATTTATTTTTATGAGCTGTATAAATAATTTTCTGTTTCTCCTCAACAACTGCAGTGGGTGGTGAGTTGCTATACAAGTTTGCAGATGAAAAGGAGAAGCAGATGCATAGAGACAAACAAACAGAAGCAACGGTTAGGATGTTGTTACAATATAAAAGCCTGTGTGATACAAGAGAGGTAATGATCTCTATCCTATGATTTTAAGTTCAGATTAAGATATATCAGGTTACAGCAGAGCAATTTGTGTTCATCCAAAAAGTCTTGTACCCATTTGGTACTCCCTCCATCCTAAAATAAGTGCCTCAACTTTAGTACAACTTTGGAGATGGATCAAATCAATATTACGCTATGAATAATAAGAGTTATAAGATACCTATTTCAGAGAAGACATGTTTCATAAACAGGGCATGTATCTTTGCAGGTTAAGGCACATTACATCACACACGATGACATTCTCGTTGGTCTTGTAAACCTGATAAAGAAGCTCAAAATAAAGAGAATTGTCATCGGTTCAAGGTGAGATCTTAAATGAACTCATCCCCAAAAAAGAGCATTCCCTCTTGATATATGTTACTTGATGTAACATGTACACAATAAATGTATTAAGTTTCATGCATAAACCAGTAGAACCAAAAGTCCGAACTTCATCACCCCCTCTCACATGTGGCTCGATAAGGCCTAACATGGACAGAAAGAGTGCAAGCAATTTTTTATTTAAACTGCAAAAACTGAGACTTGAACACAAGACCTCATGGCATTGATACCATAGTAAGTTCATGGACCAGCCACTTCACCCAAAAGACCGAAGAACGAACTGATGGAGAGGAGGGAGGGCACTCTCCCTCACTTCTAGGCTGCTCCAGGCCTTGGACGTGCGATCGATGTAGGCTGCAACTATTTCTATTTAATAGTGTGTTGTCCAGGCCTTGAATTTGAGTCTTGGCTCTGATGCCATATTAAGTTTCATGCACCAACCAGTAGAAACAAAAGCCTGAACTGATGGAGAAGGTTGGTCAATCCATGTATACTTAAAAAAAATTTAATAGTACCTTAGCGCATATAACTGTATAACACTGAAGCAAGTTATGCAGGAAAATGGCAAAGCAAGAAGAGCTTCGCAAATGCTGTCAGGTTTGGGTGGTGCTCAATGGAAAATACATGTCCACTAGGTATAGTTTGTCTTAAGTCCATAACTGGAGACATCTGGATCAAATCCAGTAATTACTTGATGGATGAGATCATTCCTAAGTGCAGTAATGATTATCTGAAACATACGGGAAGCATTGGATATAGAGGGAGCTCCGATTTGTTGGCGTCTATACATGAGCTGACTCAGCTGAGCGACGAATCTGATGGATACACAACACCACCAAGTGATTTTGTAAGTAACCTTTTAGTAAAGCATTACACACATTTTTATCCAAAAGAGCATTAAACATATGCAAATAATAACTGTTTCAGTTTACAAGTTCATGACTATGGTTCAAAGTTTTGGTCCTAACTCGTGGCGTATTCTCAAGTATGTCTCATTTCAGGCAGATGATATCATCAATGGGGATGGGGTTATTCAAATGGATGGTGCTGATCAATCAGCAAAGGTAATAACTCACCTTCGTTTTGCTTTCAAGACAACTACTAAAACATGTGCATTCAGAAATTCTACCTACTCACTCTTTAAGGTTGCCCACACATACAGAAACAATATCCAGGATTTTGTACAACCCTTGCTCTCTCTTGCAAAATGTTGTACTATGCATTTGAGCTTAATGAAGATGGCACCTCGAGCGCCTTTTCCTGTTAAAAAAATGGCATTATATTTGAATTCACTCTGCGCTTAAGCATGTTTGACCAGAATTATATTTACCACTGCTGCCACAAAGACAGATTGATGAACTGTATCTGGTAAAAAAAAAACAAGTGCTACCTATGACTTTTGAAAATTGCAATTTGTGTAAATAACATTAAGTTTTGCTCCATTCACGTACGATGTGCAGGAAGCTGAACAAGGCGTCGAGGAATCAAATGCTTGTGAGGAGGTGGAGATTTTTTCCGAAGAGGGTGCTGATAAATCTGATGAGATACAGAGTGCCAGAAATATTTC